TCGCGATTTATAAGCAATGATGTAATCTCAACATCCAAATAGTCCCCGCAATTAATATGTTAATCAACAACTAAACGTCATTGATTGAGGGCTTGTTTCGGGGAAAGTATACAGTAATTCTGGTTCATTGCATTAATGGTGCACCAAAAGGATATCAGGACTTACATCATTGGAGCTAGAGATTCGCACACTGATCTAAAATCTTATATCTCTTTGATGCATCATTAATGCAATGGACCGGAATTAGTGGATGCTTTCTCCCAATTTTGTAGTCATACGAAGCAGTAATGGTGTCTAAGTTTCAACTGCATTTCGTCCAATTTGCACTGAGATTGAATCACTTCCAATAGTGTCACAACAACGCAACTGTCAAAACCAAGTGCTTTGATACTAGATTGTCAATCTCATTGCACTATTCTGCTAAAAGTAGCAACACCAACAGTACGTCCCCAGTAATGTATTGCGCTACTCTTGCAGGATATAAGAACCCTGAAAGAAGCTGATGTTGTCCAGTAATCACCTAAGTTATTAAATAATTTGTCAGTTGTGATATCATGTATATGATAGATGGAGTATCTCTCTGGAATCAGAATTTCTGGCTGACTGGCATTTTGAGCATGTTGGCACTCCGGCATTTCCCTAGTAAATTTGATGCCAGACAACATTAGCTGAACCAAAAGTTATCCACTATGGAAACCTTTCAGTATGAAATTGTAATGGCCAAGATCAATGCAGATAAAACTGCAGATAGAATAGATTTAAAGGGTATATAGCAAAAAAAAACTAACTTAAAAGCATGTTGAATACTATTTATAGCTAAGTTTGTGTAACATTTTCCCTAAGAAGAGTAGTGTACCTGACAAGATTTACGATCAGAATCCCCCATCTGCAAGTCTGTAATATTCTCTCAACTTCTATCATGTTCTCCTGTGTGCCAGTCAGAATCTTAATCAGGTGGGTTCATGCACCTCTTAATTCTGTCCTCTGCTTTTGAAATAGACATGAACTTTCTTCCATTGTCATTGAAACAAGAATGTAAATTCAACACCTAATTGATCTCCTGCACTTAATATGTTAATCAATAGCTAAATGTTATTGACTGACATTCCATTTAGAGAGTGTTCAATGATCCTCCAATCCACTACATTAATGATGCATCAAAGGTATATCAACCCTTGTATCACTGGAGTTGGAGATTTTTGCATTGATCTTAAAGTTGATAACTTTTGTGCATCATAAATGCAATGAACCTAAACTACTAGATATTCTCCCTATTGCAGTGCCATATGAAACAATAATGGTGATAAGCTTCAACTGCATCTGGTCCCAATCTACACTTAGATCAAATCACAACCGACAGGTGTCGGCGATGCAATAGGCAAAACCTTGTTCTTCATACTAAATGTGCATCCTCATTACATAATTCAGCTTAAAATAGAAAGATAGGGCGCACCATTAATAAATGCGTTGTTGCACTATTGATTTAGGATACGAAGGCATTGAAAGGAGCAACCATGAAAGAATCTCATTTCATCCAGTAATCAACAAAGCTAATAAATAGTTTGTCAGTTATCACATCAGGTATATGAAAATGCGAGTCTCTCTGGAAAATGGCTGTTCAGCATGTTGAGCAAGCTGACACTCAGGCTCTCTAACAAATTTGTTGTTGTATAACATTAGCTGAACCGAAGTCATCCACAATGGAACCTACCATTAAGAACTAGTAAGAACTAGTTAATCCAAATTACCTAAGTCACACACCTAACCACCTAAGCTTCAAAAACCGAAAGACAATAATATCTGCTATACATATATTCCAGCTACAGAGACTCAAATGACATCAGATGCACATGATATAAACAATCACCTTACATGTGTCACCAGAGGGAGCTTATAGTATCAACCTCTAGTAAACAAACAATGTTTATTTTATTTTATTTTAATGTAAGCATGAAAAGCCATGAGAAAGAAATAGTCTGATCAAAAAATTCTCATGTCAAAGTAAGTTTCTAGACCAAAAAGTATTCTTGATGTCTTAGATGCTCGTTAACTGGTGATTGCTGACACTAGAAAATAAGTGCTCCATTATTAGACACTACGAATATTTCCTGCCTTAAACCTAAACTTGAAGGCTGAACAGTTATATTAGAGATTTGACTTATTGTAAAACCGTGTGATGGTGTTTTCTTGCTTACCATAAGTTTCTTTGTCGCTGGACCTTAGAAATTGAAAACCCTATTCAGAAGCAAGTTATATGTTCCTCATTATTAATTAATTATAGTTGCTTAAGGCTTCATCTTTCCTCTTGTGATAACAAAGAAATTTAATGACTAAATCAGCAAATCAATAATGGGTGCAAGACGATAAGAAACAAATAAACACTAATGCTTCCACACTTGTCTTTGTATTCATTTAGTAGACATAGATATGAATAAGGAGCTTGTCTGCAAGTCCTAAATCAAAGAAAGTTGCTCTATTACCTCTTATCAATTCAGTTTGTGATTTGGGTTTTTATTTATTTTTCCTTCAGAAAAAAATAAATAATTAATTAAAGCTTCACCCTGATTTGGATTAGAGGTCATACAAGGGTACAAATGAAGCAGATACAGTTTCTAACATATGTTTATTTTCTACTAGATATAAATAGGATAAAGGACTTGTTAATATTGAACTCAAAATTCACCATTAAAATGGATTCAAGTTTCATTCGACGATGAAGCTAGGTGGGTTACTAATTCTATTACCAGAGTTTCAAGAGAGAATAGCGGAAAAGAAAATTTAATAAACTAAATTTTGGACATGTGCCTATGCAGGAGATCAAAAAGTAAACATGATATTTTAAACATTTAATAAGAACTTGACAGAAGGGTGTCCATTGAAAAAGAAATTTATTGTATTGACAACTGATAAGCTCCATGAAGCATTTAATATGCCGGACCTCATGGCTATTTTAAAATAGAAAGGCTTCATGATCCACACATAATGTGGCATTTTAACCTATTTATTAAATTTAAGCAATTAGTGGAGGAGTATATTAATAAATAAATGACACGACACAATTCATTTGCAAAACCTCAGAAGCAGGCACCTTCATTTCATGGCACCCAATGATAAAAATTAATGGGTCAACTGACATGGGAAACAACATTTTAGATAAGGATACATACTATCACATGCTCACAAATATGTAAAATTGGTATTTATTTATTATGATGTTTCCTTATATTCTTTCTTAGTAAGAGCGCTGCGCTCATTCTCTGTAAGTTTTCTCTTAGGACTAAAGATAATTTCAGGTGACAGTGCAGACAGTAGAATAATACTGAAAATGTTATTTGACTTTAAATTCACAAGATATATCCATTTTTGGCTTTAGTACCCAGAAAAGTAAGATGTGTATAAGTTCTCTCTTAAATAGATGGAAGAAGAAGGGGCTTTAGCAGTATTCTTTCTAAACTAGGGTTAAATGTGTCCAAAAAGGGACGTGATAGTCCGCGATCTATTTCCAATAGAAACTAACAACAGCCATATGACAAGAAATATTAGGGTGGTAAGTTGGTGAAAGTTTAGGGTATCTTTTGCCAAATTTAATCTCAGGGTAACAAATTCAAAAATGGATGAAATGTTAGGGGATTAAAGCGAAACCTAACTAAAATACATTGTTGATATACAATGCATTAGCATACCTGGCAAACCTCTGCCGGCAGTGCAGCAGGATGTTAATAAAATTGGTGTGCGCATTTTTTAATAAGCATGAGGTGTTTTTCCTTAACCGATTAAAGCTTCCCTCACGAAAACAATATTAATTCTCTGCTAATTAACCATGAGAAAAGTCGCATAGAGGTTCCTGCAAGTAAAACTCAAAGATTTATTCATGTCCCCCAAATTATGGAATAGAAATGAACCTATAAGACTTTTCTGAATGCGTACCTCTTGATCATTGACTTTGGAGATTGAACAAAGCACCATGTCCGCATTAAGAACAAATATGCATCATTTATGAATGTGGGTAATGAATGTGGGTAAACATGTACGTCTATGCATGTACTTCTTAATATTAGCTACCTGTTCATCCTCTCTAAGTTCTTCTAGGAATAAAGACATCTTTCACTCATAACAGCGCTCACAGTCATGATTGTGAGACCTTAGTAAAATAGATGAGGTAGCTGGGAAATATACCATGGAAAGGATATTTTTCAAGATACAGATTACTAAAATAGATAAAGTGCCTGGGAATATATCATGTAAGTATAGCTGGATGCTAAGTGAAAATTACTGCAAAGAATGTATTCTGAGATAAAGAGGTGACCGAGCTAGCTGAATTTTCCCCTCGAACAACCATGAGAAAAAGGAAAAGAATCTTCCTGCAAATAAAACTAAAGATGTCACTCATAAGCAGCATCTACAAGCCTACATGACCATTAATAAATACAAGATTGAAAAGAAGCTGCATGATCTTTCACAAAGAACGATTATGAGCCTACGTTCAGAAGCATACAACTGAACATACATTCAACAAATTTCTGTAACAAATGTGGCTACTATAAGAAAGTATCCCTACAACTGTTATACCAGATCTAATGGGATAACTTCTCTAATGAGAAAGAAAACCACAAAGAATCACAACATGGACAATAGATACGAATACCTGAATTGCCACTGAACATGTAAATGCTCCCGCAACAGAGACAATAGGATGAACACAGTACTCTCATAGATGTTCGACTTCCAAAAAACCCCAGCAGGATAATGCTTGAACAGTAACAGCTTTGAATAGTAGGAAAAGCACGTCTACAAGAAGTAGGCAGAGCAATAGAAGAAGGTAGGAACAAAGTGATAACGGACAGAGAATGTCAACAAATACAGCTTGGTGAACGAAAAGTGAGAAGACAAATACATGGATGCCAAACTTATCACAAATATATTTCCACATTCAGACAATTAGCTAGTAAACCGCACTTAAACAAGTTTGAGTGATATCACTGGAAATACCAGAGAAGACGTCAGCCAAAGGAACCATTGGTATGATTTAGAGAGAACAATCGAATGAATTCAATGATGATGTCTAATGGATTTTCATGATACATAAATTACAAGAAGCTGCAATAGATTACATTAATTGTAACAAATTTCAAGAATTTGAATATGATAATGTCGCATCCAGTTCCCACCTTTGTGACACTATAGGATGAGGAAATATACAGCTAGCACTTGTATCCTGTGCCCTAAAGTATTGAGATCGGATGATGCTGTCAATAAGATTTATTCTGTTTATTATCTCTTTTCAGTTGCACTTTCAGCTTCTTACCACCTAATTGGAAACCATTCATCACATTGATGGCAGCCTGGGCAGCTGCAGGTGAATCATAGCTTACGAAACCTGAAAAAAGAAGGGAATAAGTGAGTTTAAAGGAAATTGCTTGCAATAAAAGTATATGCATACCTTACTTACCAAAGCATTTACTGACACCGGTTGCTTTGTCAATGAAAACTTTAGCACTTAATACCCTGCCAAATCCCTGAAAAGCAGTTGATAGCTCTTGGTCGCCAAATTCTTGAGGGATATGATATATAAATAGATTAGCTCCAGGGGGGCCTATAAAACAAGAATTTGCCAGTCATTTGGATATAATAATCAGACATTAGCTGAAAGAGAGATGCAGAATGACAAGCAAAGAATATCTGTGAACCTTCCGTTTGACTCCCAGAACTTGTAAGGTTTCCTGATGAAGTTGATGCATTATTAGTCACATTTACAGGGTGAACTAAGCCATGGGAATTTCCTGATGGCCTCTGACTCATCATATTCCCATGGTATGCCAGGGGATACTGAAGCCCTGGAACACCAGTATATCCTGAGCCTACATAGCCAGCAGACTGCATTGCAGCAAAATTTCTAGGCACCGCACCAGCTGATGCCTCAGGACTAACCCCTCGCAATGTGTTTCCTTGGTTGACTGGCGAAATCATATTATGGGAAGCTTGGTTTTGCATTGGACTTAAAGGGTACTGCATAAGTCCATAAGTTCCAGAGGCCTACTTGCAGACAGAAAGTAATGGTTTTATTTTTCATTCTGTGGAAGAAATAATTAGCGACAGCACGTAGAAAACTAACTATCAAGATGAAAACTGTAACTGTTAAAATGAGCAGAAGATAAATTTTGTTCTGAAGTTGCATATATCTATAACTCATCAGTAACAAATAAGCAGTACGTAAAAGAACTGAATTAGGACTGATGCAGCTATTTTTACAAACAAAACCTTCAAAGTCCTGGAACAAGTTAAAACATGTGTTAGGTATTGGATGAAGAATCTAAAGCTCTACAAGCAATTAGCAGCTTATCATCAATAACTAACAAGATCACCACACAACTACTCAAGGAAACATGACCTCAATTATCTCATTACGTTCTAAACTACGATAATAATGATAAAAACATGTGTAATTAGACCTGATAACCAAATCCATTGTATGGAGGCATATATCCCATTGGCAAAGCACCAAACAATGAAGGTTGCTGATGTGTCGCATTAGAGGCATGCGATTGAGCTTTTTGAGCTCGTCGAGCTTGCCTTTCTTTCTCGGTATCAGCCCACTTGACAACCAAAGGTACACTCGATCCCTGAAGCGTAGACTGGAATTAGTAAATCAACCAAACACAATATGTACCATGATTTTAACTCAAACAGAACCAGAGACCTAGTAGAATTTCCAGTGCATGTTGAAATATCAGCATTGTGAACAATAAAAGCATGATGTAAATGTTAGATTATGATATGCATCATGTGCTAGCTCAGCAACAAGGGCAGGTGGATAAGCCCACTCTCTACACAGCAAGCATACACTGTCCAAGATATTTTACTAATCAAAGTGGAGAAAAATGGACAAGTTGCAGATACACAGCTTACTGAAGCTCAAACTGGCACCAATTACAATGTTCAATTTAAACAATATGTAGATATCTAGTCATATGCTTGTTGTTTAAAGTCATAAATGCAGTATTTTTTTATTTTTTTATTTTTCTGATGTTCTAAAGGAAATTGGTGAAATCTTGACTTTGGAGTTTCAACGTGTAGATTATAAGCTTCCTCTACTAAGACACTTGCAAGTGGACATTCAGAACCACATGAATATAGAAAAAACATGATTGCAGATTTTAATAACCTGTGCAACTTATTAAAATCGCTCTCGATTTTTGTATCTCAGAAATTAGATGCCTTTACCCATAATATGCATTTCCAATATACAATTTATATTAATGCCTTATATGTTACTATGACCCACATAATAAACATATAAGAATAAAGTTGGGTCCTGATGCCCTAATTCGACCAGAAAAAATAAAAAGTTGGATAGGTCAATGGGTCGGGTTAACCCCTATGATTTGAACCTGTAGTAGAAATTGCCTACAGCAGGGTGACTTTTATAACGTAGTAAGCAAAGGGTTTGTTTAGCAAGAAGAGTAAGAAAAAAGTTAGGGCCACTCACCTTACTCCTTTCCAATTCAAAAACGATTGGAGTTAAGAATAACCACTATTTGGGTGCTATCTTACAGAGGTAAAACCATTTGTTTTTTTTTTTTGTTTTTTTTTTTTTGGCACACGTAACTTCTACTCCACGGTGAAATTATATATGCCCATTAATAACACACAAATCCTCCCCAAAATTGCCAATCCTACACCAACACATTGGATCCAAACAACCAGAAAGAACACAAACCGCGAGAGCACTGACTCTTCCAAAAAAATTCACAACGCCTACAACTTAATCTCTATTGTCAAACAGGGCCTAAGTGAGTCAATACAGTGGCAATAACTCCCCCCTTTTGTGAGCATAGTTGATATGCCTCCAGGGAATCATCTTTTGCAAGAATCACATGTGGCATCATCCATAATCCGATAGTGTGAGGCTTCCATCACATGTGAGGCTTCCATCACATGTGAGCCTCACGTCGGCCTCTTCTCCCACTGGACTACCCACTATCAGTAGAGCACAATCAAGTCCTGATAACACTTATTAGTGAGTAAATGAACCTCTAGGGGAGTTATCACATTCCAGAAGTTCATATAGTCTAAAAGCCTAGGACTCAACCTGACCAAAAAGCTAAAGTTGATAAGTTGTCCAAAGTGTCCTAGAAATTTCAGTCAGCTTTTATATGGATTTATTCAAGCCATACTTAAACCCTTTGCATGTTTTGCAGTAAAGTCAGAGTCCTAACCCCCTTGAAAGAAGGTTACTTCGGACTAGTTAGTATCTGGGATGCTTTTATTATGCTTCTCTTGTTTTTTAGATTTCAACAAAAAAGAATAGATCACTGGAACCTGAAGTTGAATCCAATCATCTTATCAAGTGTGAATCACTTTTGAGCTTATTGTGCTTAGGATATGCATTGGAATTTACATGCATGACCATCATGTTCCGGTCAGATTTTATATATATCCAAACCAAACACAAGTCAACTGCATTCCAATTTAATCAATATAACCATAATTTTTATTTGTATTTCCAGTTATTCATTACAATTCTTGTTTTGGTTTAATCCGCCTAGTTTAAGCAGTGTTTTGAAATATTAAAATAGTTCAGTCTCACCTAACATGGTGGCTCTTAGTTTTTGTAAGGATCGTGTTGACTATATGACTTTTTACTACAGTTTTGATGTCTTCATCTGCATAATCTCAATGTAACATTGCATTGCAAAATATCAGTGTAATCAGTGTAATCATGGCTGGAATCAAGTTCTCCATACGGACACACTCTTCAGCATCTAAGTTACTTGTGGTCTTAGTCTATGACCCAGAATTTGCTGCAACATCTTACATTTTCCCTTCAACAAACTCCTCTAAGTTGTCACCATAACAGGTAAATCTAAGTTGAGATTTCACTAATCATAGGTGAAGCCCAGGCGCTAACTAAACATAATTGCACTATAAGCTATTCCAGAAGCTGGTATCCTACGTTATGAGGTGTTTGGTGGACAAATATTAAAATGTATAAGTTAGCTGCCACTCGCTTTACTGAAGAGAATGAATTCAAGAAGATAATTTGTACAAAGACAGACCTCCATTCTATGTTTCCCGTTCACAGCCTCCAACGCAGCAAGAGCTTGTTCTTTAGTCTCATACTTCAGAAAAGCACAACCTGCTACATTAAATAAAAGCCAATACATTTGGAAAATAAAGCAAATATAAAAGAAAGGTGAGCACTAGATGGATCCACATGTTTAAGAGCCAACTTTACCTTTGCTTGTTTGTTGAGACCCTCTCAAAATCTGTAAGTCTTTAATGTTACCATACTTTGAAAACAAAGCAGAAACTTCTTCCTCAGATGCATTCTTTGGAAGCATACCAATGAAAAGTTTGTGTTCTGTATACAAGCCAATATATATAATCAACTCAGACCCAAAAACTATTTACATTCTACAGAAAAGAATTATGTAAGAGATTCTTGTACCAGAAAGGGATGCAAAATCAGAAAAAAGTTACTAAAGCACTGGATGTATCATTAAAAAAAACTCAACAGAGGAGTTCTAATTCGTAAGAAAAGTGCCAAACCTAATCTTTCCAACTCGCCATCTGCATATTTCACTTGTAATGGACTAGAAGCCTGAATAAGACAGAGTAGACAGCTTCAATTAACGATAAGTTTCACATGTGCACAGGTCTGATTACATCAAGTCATCATCTTAGCTATGAGGATATATAGAACGTACAGTAAAGAGTAGAGAACACATAGATATAATCCAAAAGAGAAAACAAGGAAGGATACCCTTATTCCAGTTATTGGGGCCCAACAAATCATCCAACACTTGCAATTTATATTTTGTTTTATATAAGAGGAAACTTGTACTCATGATCATTATTTTAAACTAACATATTCTCATCAATTCATGCACAAAAAGAAACTTGATTCACTTAACAAA